TAATCTGAAAAAATAAATAAAACAGAAAGTAAATTAATTACTAACCTTATTTATTAATAGAACAAAATTATGATCAAGTCCAGTGTTTAACATTGTGTTCTTAAGACAGATTTGTCCTCTCCACAGTGCTTTCAGATTGCGGACGTCTATTTCCCAAGATAAAATGATCAACAACGAATAATAGCAGCACTACAAATTATTTGCACAACAAACACACTTTGTGTTTACACTTTTTCTTACAAGAAAATAATGTAGCAAAATGCAGAGAGAGAAATCACTACAACAAAAAGCACTTTTGGCGACGTTTTTTAGCAACCAAATTGAATTCCGTTGCCAATTGTATGTTTTTGGCGACAATATACGTGTTGGTTGCCAAAAAATAAACTATTAGCGACCAATATCTCTATTGGACCCCAAAAATGTTTGGCGCCAATTTAATTTTTTGCGCGGGAGCACTAAAAATGTTTTGGCGACCAAATTAATATATGGCGATGAAACTTTCGGTCGCCAATTGTAACTTTTTGGCGATAGAATTAAAATAGTCGCGAAAAAGTGAATGATGTTTATGACAACCTAATGATTTTCGTTGCCAATAAATTATGGGTCAAAACGACGTGATTTTGAATCTGTTTTTTTTTTTTTTTTTTTAACAAACAATTGACCTAACTTCTTCTCATTTTCTTATCCATCTGCAACGGCACAACACAGACGGTACAACACAGATCAGGTATGTTCTTCTTCTCTTCTTCTTCTCTCTTTCCCTCTCCCTCTCCCTCTTACTCTCTCACACTGCCTCATCTTCCTCTTTTTCTTCTTTGTCATCAATTTGGTTCTCTTGTTTGGCATGGCAAAACACAGCACAACATTGATATTGGGACTGATTTTTCCCTCTCCCTCTCCCTCTCCCTCTCCCTCCTACTCTCTCACACTACCCCATCTTCCTCTTTTTCTTCTTTGTCATCAATCTAATTTTTCGGACTGATATTCTAATTTTTGAGACTGATATTATGATTTTCAAAATAATTTTGGAACTGATTTTTGGGTTTTGGGACTGATATTCTGATTTTGAATTTTTTGGAGACTAATATTCTAATTTTGGAACTGATTTTGGGAGTGATATTCTGATTTTGGGACTGATATTTTGATTTTGGAACTGATTTTGGAACACAGCACATCATTTCGTTGTTTGTTTGTTGTTGTTGTTCATTATCAAAGGCTCATAAACATACATCCATATCCAGTAAGGCTTTTAAATCTGAATAGGTCCACACTGTAGACCAATTAAAACCCCTAAAACAAAGATTTCAAGATCTTTTAAAATATTGGGAAAAAGAAATCAGGCCTTGTTCATTATTTTAAGATTTTAAAAAATTGACCCCACTAGAATCTTATTGAAACTAAAGAAATGGGTTCAAAATTCTTTTTTTTTTTTCTTCATAGATTTATTGTCCTAAAATAATATTCACTAATCAAAAATATATGCATGGTTTCCTTTGTTAGAAACAGAATATTAATAATTTTTACAAAATTAAGTACTTGTATTTTGATTTTTTAATTAAAAGTTTGGTAGCTTATGTAATTACTCTCCTTTCATCTCCTTTGGCACAAATTTTATACCAATGATTTCATCATCATCATCTTTATTGTTGGCTTGTCCTAGCACTCCTCCAATGCCTCCTTCTTCTTGCTCGCGTTTCCAAGATGGATACACTTGGCGGCGTCGCAATCAAGTATGGTGTTGAGGTAATTAAAAAAAAAAATGGAAGTCTAAAATTTTAAATTCATTATCTTTTTTGTTTTTTGGGTTTTTTAGTGCGGTTTTGTTTATTTTATTATTATTGTTATTATTATTATTATTGATTTTCTCTATGAGAATGGTCATTTAATTAATGGGTTTTCGTGTAGACACTGAATGCTATAGGATTCAGACATGGGTTAGAATGGGATTTTCTTTTGTTCTGTTTGGTTGCTAATAAATTTCAGGAAATCGTTTAAGCTTTAATGCATTTGGTATCATTGCATCACACAAGAAGGAAAATAACAAAAAGAAATAGAAAAATGAAAAGTGAAAGTGGAAAACGAGTCTAATTAATACGAATTTTTAGCATAATTGAGAGAGGCACATCTTGGTTGTGATTGTGATTGGTCTGCTAAATTTTTCCTTCTGGGGAGGTGGATGAGATTTATGTCAGATACATGAATAGGGAAAATATTCTGTTAAAAACTTCTTGTAGTGTATTAGTTTGACTCTGAAAATTTTTAGTTGGATGAAGCAATTAGTTTTTTCACACATATTGCCAAAAGTTGTTTTGTTTGATGGTGTGGTTTTACCTTTCTATCTATCAGAATTACTGTCCATTTGTGGGTATGGATGTTTACATGTTGGGTTTTTATTAAGGTTGATTACCGTGCATTCATTGTTTTCACTTCCTTTTTTTTGAATTGCTCAGACAGTAGGATGGCTGATCAGTTTTCTTTAACATGCAATGGTGCATGTTAGGTGGCCGACATTAAAAGGTTAAATGGCCTTGTGACGGATCTCCAAATGTTTGCTTTCAAGTCGCTTAACATTCCACTACCAGGGAGGCACCCCCCATCTCTCGTTCTGTCTAATGGTATAGATATTCAAGGGTATTTGTATGTCCATTTTACGTTTATTATTATTGTTCTTTTTAGCCCCATTTATTTATGAGTTTCATTTGTGTTTGTTGTTCTGATGTATGTTTCATTTGTGTAATAGTTTATAAATGTGCTATGTCTTACAGGTTGAATTTTTGACCATGTGTGTCTTGCTTACTAGTGTTGCTATGCTATCTCACTACACCCTTTATCTGTTTTTCTTGTCTGTTGTTAGCTGAAATATATCATAATAAATTGGTGGTAGTTGTTTTGAGGTTTAATTTCACCATTATTATTTTTTTTCTTATCAGTGTTCCAATTATCTACTTTTTGTTTTTGGTTGATAGACGTAATTCAATAAAAAAAAATGAACAAAATTTACAAGGCAAACCCCAACCAAACGTCTAATGGTTTAGATATTCTACTCCATCACCTACATTTACTATACCCACTCAATCTACTCTCTCTTCCTTCTTTTGGTCTTCTTCTCCTAAGTCTGTTCCTTCACAGCCTCTGCATCTCATGCCTCCTTCACAGTCTCCTCTGTTGCCGTCACAGCCTCTGCCTACACCTTTATCACCTTCCCATCCTAATCACTTGTCCACACAACCTGTTTCCCATCCTAATCACTTGTCCACACAACCTGTTCCGTCCTCTCAGTTGCCTCCACAGTTCCAGCAGCCTCGACTCCCGCAGCAATCTCCGCAGCCTGCACACCAGCTTCCGCAGTCTCAGCAGTCTCCTCAGCCTCCTATTCCTATTAATTCTATTGCTATTCATTTACCTCTTCCTACTCCCTCTTCTACTTCTAACACTCATAGTATGCAAACCAGATCCAAGTCTAAACTTTCTTCTTCTCTTCCTTCTTCTTCTTGTTTTCTTACTTCTAGTCCGGTTTCAGTTGATGAATTTCAGAAAATGAAATGAATTTCCTGTATTATATTTTCATTCCATACTTTCAATGACAGATTACATTGATATTTATATACATTCATAACCATCTAATCTAACTCTAGTTCTAACTAATTCTAAACTCAACATACTCTAACTACAGCTAGTTACAACCACTGACTAATACAGTTATTATTCTGTTACACTTTCTGTTACACTGGATGAGCTGGCACTGCTGGTAGTGGACTGATGTTACTGCAGTTGAATCTGCTTCGGTTGCTCTGAGTTGTGTGATATCCTATCACTTACAGGTTAAATTTTTGACCATGTGTGTCTAGCTTACTAGTGTTGCTATGCTATCTCACTACACCCTTCATCTGTTTTTCTTGTCTGTTGTTAGCTGAAATATATCATAATAAATTGGTGGTAGTTGTTTTGAGGTTTAATTTCACCATTTTTTTTTTCTTATCAGCGTTCCAATTATCTACTTTTTGTTTTTGGTTGATAGACGTAATTCAATAAAAAAAAATGAACAAAATTTACAAGGCAAACCCCAACCAAACATCAAGCTTAGGCATATACTTAAGGCCAAAGCATAACCAGCAGTAGTAACTAGCAGTAACAAAACTGCAAGAGAAACTGATAGTTTAATCAACGCAAAGGTTGAGCCTAATTTCAATTCATAGGGTATCAAAATAGAGCATGATTACCTGGATAATCAATCAAGAATTCACGAATGATGATTAAATGTAGTAGCAGTTAGATTGCAGTAGAAACACCCACCACCTAGCTTATAGGTCCCAATTTACTTTGCTATATATTCACCTGTCTAATTATCTTTGAAAAGTAAAAATTAACACTGGAAGTTGGTCCTTGAGACATGCTTTTTTAATCTTTCTAGCCTCTGGATACACAATCTCGAACACAAGTTTTCATCCTGTGACCAAGATATTAAGGAGAAGCCTGGATGGCTTGAAACTATCTTCCCTTTAACAGTTTCATGTTCATAACAAACACTTAGTCATCAACACTGTTTTTCAAAAAGTGAGATGATAAGAATAATAACTGAAGTTGTCTGCTTGATGTGGCAGAAAAGGAAAGTACAATACTTTTCCCTTTAACAGTTTCATGTTCATAACAAACACTTAGTCATCAACACTGTTTTTCAAAAAGTGAGATGATAAGAATAATAATTTGACGAGTGAAAATGTGATTATAAAATGTAATTCACATTAAAAAAATAACTGAACCAGTCTTAATTATTAAGCACATGACAGAACAATAACTGAAGTTGTCTGCTTGATGTGGCAGAAAAGGAAAGTACAATACTTGAGATATTTTCAGCCTTTACCTATTTATCTAATTATCTAATGCTTAGCAAATTAGTTTTTCTTTTGAAAGGTTAGTCAATAATTATTTTTTATTGTTAAATAAGAGTTATCACATATTAATATAGCATATTAATATTTTTCTCAATAGCTTCATCTCGGACAGGATGAGACAAAGTGTCAGAGATGTAGTTTTTTGTACTACTACTATCAATATTACTTGAAAAAGGAGAAAAGGGTATTCTGTTCAGGTTGAAGGGACTACAATCAAGTACTTGTAATTACTCTCCTTTCATCTCCTTTGGCACAAGTTTGGTAACTTGGGTTACAAATAAAGATGGCTGCACCAATCATTGGTATAAAAAAGTGAGACAAGATGGATGAGATTCATAAAGGCCCAGTCATTCAAGCAGTTCGGGTATATGTATTTGTTATTTTTAAAATAATTAGATTATAACCATTACTTGCATTTTGATACTAATAAAAGTATTCATTATATTTACAGGATAAATTTGAGATTGTTGATTATGATGAGGATGAAGAGGTTCGAAAAGGAGTCAATAAAAAGTGTAAAACTCTTTACAAAAGTTGGCGTAACAAGATGAAGACTCATTACTCGAAGTTGGTAGACGCTGGTGTTGACCCTTACAGTAAACCATACAAAGGGGTCGATTATGAGGCTTGGGTATACATGATCAATCATGTGTGGCTTGATGGCGATCATCAGGTAAAATTTCCTAATTTAAAGAATCATGTTGTAATTTCAATTTAATTTTACTAATCAATTAATTTTGTAAAACTTGGCTGAAAAAGAAAGGGATAGTCGATCGAGGTTACCATGTAATCATACAATGGACTCCAAGTCATTTCAAGCTGCAATGTATAAACAGGTGATGCATTTATTATATTTAAAAGTGTGATTACATTAAAATTAATTATGTATGCTTACTTTTAAATGGAAATAGGGTATCGAGAAAACTGACATTGTAGACTTCTACAAAGATTCCTATTGGTGCAAGAGAAAATCAGATTGGGTCGCCCCAATATGTGGTCAATTACATGTAAGTATGCCAATTAATAGAGTTACATATTTATGTAAATGGTTGTATTTGTTGAAGTTGTTTAGAAATTGATAGGAATCTTTGAAAAAGCGACGTGAAGAGTCTTTAGAGCCTAGCACAGTACCTTTAACTCAGGAGCAGCTGTCAATTGAGGTTCTTAGAAAGAAATCGGGTTACTTAAAAGGCTTCGAAGTTGGTCCAAAACCATCATCATCCAGATCTTCTATTAGTGCACAAACGCATATTGAGGTTGTTTCAAGCCTACAAAAACAACTAGAGTCATTGAAGAATTTGTCCGAAGTCTAGCAAGAGGAAATTGCAACTCAGAACCTGGTAGCACAACAACAAGCAAAAATGATTGAAATGCAAAACAAAAGATTTGAAGAGATTAAGAATTTTATGAGGATGCGGAAGGATCGGGCAGGCATGGAGGTTGATGAAGATGATTATCAATCAGAGGAATCTTATTATCAAGCACTTTGGTAAGTATATTTTTCATAATTTAATTTTCAAATCACGACAAACATTTAACTTAATATGTCTGGTTGTGTTGAACAAAAGTGCTGAAATTGTAAAACACAAGACTTAAAATTAGAAGGAAAATTGTAAAACATGATTTAAAAGGCCCGTTTGGGGGGCAAAATTGCGAAATGTCCATCGAAACTGTCAAAACTTGGCACGGACAGCTTGCTCAAGGCTAAATAGACTTGTAGGAACAAACGGGACCTCGATTGGATTTCTGTTTAGAAAATTAGAAGGAAAATTGTACAACACAAGACTTGAAAGGCCCATTTGGGGGGCGAAATTGCGAAATGATCACCGAAACTGCTGAAACTTAGCATGGGTAGCTTGCTTAAGCCTAAATAGACTTGTAGGAATAAACGAGACCTCGATTGGATTTTCAATTAGAAAATTAGAAGGAAAATTGTACAACACAAGACTTAAAAAGCCCGTTTGGGGGCCAAAATGGCGAAATGACCACCGAAACGCCGAAACTTGGCACGGGCAGCTTACTCAAGCCTAAATAGACTTGTAGGAATAAACAGAATCTTGATTGGATTTCCTATTAGAAAATTAGAAGGAAAATTGTAAAACACAAGACTTAAAGGCCCGTTTAGGGGGTGAAATTGTGAAATGTCCACCAAAACCGCCGAAACTTGGCACGAGCAGCTTGCTCAAGTCTAAATAGACTTGTAGGAACAAACGGGACCTCGATTGGATTTTCAGTTAGAAAATTAGAAGGAAAATTGTAAAACACAAGACTTAAAAGGCTCATTCAGGGGGTCGAAATTGCGAAATGACCACCAAAACTGTCGAAACTTTGCATGGCCAGCTTGCTCAAGCCTAAATAGACTTGTAGGAACAAATGGGACCTCGATTGGATTTCCGGTTAGAAAATTAGAAGGAAAATTGTAAAACACAAGACTTAAAAGGCCCGTTCGGGGCCAAAATTGAAAAAAGACTACCAAAACCGCCGAAACTTGGCACGAGCAACTTTCTCAAGTCAGAATAGACTTGTAAGAATAAACGGGACCTCGATTGGATTTTTGGTTAGAAAATTGAAAGGAAATTTGTAAAACACAAGACTTAAAAGGCCCGTTTGAGGGCGAAATTATGAAATGACCACCGAAAGCGCTGAAACTTTGCACGAGCAGTTTGCTTAAGCCTAAATAGACTTGTAGGAACAAACGCACTTCGATTGGATTTTCGGTTCAAAAATTAGAAGGAAAATTATAAAACACAAGACTTAAAAGGCCCGTTCGGGGGCCGAAATTGCAAAATGACCACCAAAACCGCCGAAACTTAGCACAGGCAGCATGCTCAAGACTAAATAAACTTGTATGGGCAAACGACACCTCGATTGGAATTTCCGTTAGAAAATTAAAATCAAAATTGTGAAATTCATAACGAGTTTTTTTTTTTTCTTCTTCTTAATCTAATATTGTTTTTTCTTTATCATGTAACAAATTGGCAATGGTGGAAAATAGTTCGGGTTGCATCTGAAGATTTGATTTTGTATTTTTGGAAATATTTTGACATAGGATTTTGGTAAATGACTTATGGGTTAGATGTTTATCATCAAAATGTTTGGTTTTGTGTTTTTGCAAATATTTTGACATAGGATTTTGGTAAATGACTTGTGGGTTAGATGTTTAGCATCAAAATATTTGATTTTGTGTTTTTAAAAATATTTTGACATAGGATTTGGTAATGGATTTATGGGTTTGATGTTAATAGTTTGTAAGTACTTTGGTATGAATGTTTCAAATTGATAGAGAATTGTAATTATGTTTGTTAGAATGTTTAATAGCTATTAATTTTGAATTATTATGAATGTCTTTCACAGGTGTATTACTATTTACATTGCATTTGTGTATATATTGTGTATAGAAAAACAGGTGTTTTGGATTATTTTGAACAGGAAAATTATTAAAATCCAAATTTGCGCAATGAATTTTTAGTGACAGGTGATATTTTGGTCGTTGTTAATATATTTGGCGATAACATGTTGTTTTGTCACTAAAAGTCAGTGGCTATTCCAAGAACTTTTAGCAACCAAAACTCAGTCGTTGTTGAAAAGTTGATATTTAGCTACCAAATTAATTTTGTCGCTAAATAGTACTTTTGGCAACAAATTTATTTGTCGCTAAAACTACATAGCCTATCCAAATCTTAACCTTTTAGTGAAAACTAGAATTTTACAGCAACAAAATATATGATTTTTAGCGAGCAATTTTGCTTGTCGCTAAATGTCTACATACGGTGACAATTTATCATTTGGTCGCCAATACTTTTGTGACAGGCCTTTGGCGACCAATTGGGTACTTGTCGCCGATTCTTTTCGCGATGAAATTTGTACTTTTGGCGACCAACTTTTTGGTCACCAAAGGTGTTTTTTGTTGTAATGAATGGCAGAATTAATTCTTTGGTTGACTAGGTTATTTACCAAAATTTTGTTGTTACGAAAATGCCAGAGAAGTGAAAAAAGAGTATTTTAGTGCCAGTATATAAGAATAAAAGAGATGTCCATAATTGCAACAACTATAAAATAATCAAGTTAATGTATCACACAATGAAAGTGTGGGAGAGATTAATGGAACGTCGATTGCGAGATATAACAGAGGTATTAAAGAATTAATTTGGATTTATACCTAGTAGGTTAACAATGAAAGTGATCTATCTTTTGAGGAGAGTAATAGAAAAATATAGAGAAAAGAAAAGAGACATTCATATGGTTTTTATCGATATTGAGAAAGCATATGATAGAGTGTCTCGGGATATAATTTGGTAGGTGTTAGAAAAGAAAGGGGTGACAAAAGATTACATTGATGTTATTAGGGACATGTATGAAGATGTAGTGACCACTATTAGATCACCTGCTGGAGAGATGAGTGGATTTCTAGTTATTGTAGAGTTACACCAAGGATCAACCTTAAGTCCTTATCTTTCGCTTTAGTTATGGATGAGTTGACGCGCAATATTCAGGAAAATGTGCCATGGTGTATACTTTTTGCAGATGATATCGTGTTAGTGGATTAGACTAAAGAAAAAGTTAACACTAAGTTGCAGATTTGGAGAAAAACATTTGAATCTAACGAATTTAGGATAGGCAGAATCAAGACAAAGTATATGGAGTATAATTTTAGTAACAGTCACAATAGAAGTAGAGGATAAGTAAAAATTTAAAATCAAGAACTACTTAAGAGTGAACATTTTCGTTATTTAGGATCGATTATGTACACGACTGGGGAGATTGGAGTGGATGTGGTCCACAGAATTAAAGTGTGTTAGCTTAAGTGGAGGAGTGCGTCTAGAGTACTGTGCAATAAACGAGTACCCATTAGACTAAAATGGAAGTCTTATAGAATAGCTATTAGACCAGCGATGTTGTATGGGACGGAATGTTGGGCAACTAAGAAATAACATGTAGATAAGATGAGTGTTGCTGATATGAAAATGTTAAAGTGGATGTGTGGCAAGACTAGAAAATACAGAGTTAGGCATGAATATATTCAAGAATGGGTAGGAGTAGTACCGATAGAAGATAAGTTGAGAGAGAATAGATTGATATAGTTTGGTCATATACAACGGAGACCAATAGAGACAGTAGTGAAGAGATACAATACGGTGATGGTAGATGGTAGTGTTAGGAGAAGGGGTAGACCTAGATTGACATGAACTAGTGTAGTAAATAGAGATATGAATCTTCTTAATTTGACAAACAAAATGGCCTTAGATAGAGTCAAGTGAAGAAAAAGATTCATGCAGCTAACCTCATTTGATGGGACTTAATACTTGGTTTGGTTTGCTTTACCCTACACAAGTTGGACTTGCACTGTGTACATATAGGACTTGCAACATACTGGTTTTTACAACAGAGACGAGAGAGAATATAAGACAACGATGGGAAGGAACTTGAGGGTTTTAGAGGTTCCAATGACTAACGTTTAGGTCATTTAGGGTGTCATATAAAGTGGAAAGGGATTAGGGCGAAATGAGAATATAAGATAATTAGAAGGGAAAAAGATGTGCTAGGTAGAAAAGGGAAAGGGCTAGAGTGTTTTGGATGGTATTAGTAATTAGGGTTTGGATCATCTGAGGTATTGGATTTGGAATTAATGAAACAGTCGGTGGAGGGTAGTGGAGGTGGCAAGGGAGCGCAGAGGAAGTAGTGGCAAAGGGCAAAGAAGAGCAAGGGGATTGCAAAATATATAAAAAAAAATATTTATATATTTAAAAAAAAAAAAGAGGAAGAGAATCATACAAATAAAAAATTATGATTATTTATTTATGGAAAATGTTTGG